ATTCCACCTCCCTGAACTTTATGAAACCACTTTGCAACTTGCCTTTGCAACTTGCCCTTTCACCCCCCAAACTGAGCTTCTCCTCCTCTGTCCACTCTAGGCTCTATCCTTGGTCAGCCCCTCTCACTGCCAGGGCCACTGCTTCTACTCCTAAAGTCTGAGAATTTTTGCTAGCCTTCCATCTAGAGCATCTCATCACTAACCTCGCACGTGGCGTAAGCAAGGGCAGCTCTGTTGTGAGGACCTCACACTTCCCTTCTGGCCCTTTCCCAATTTCTCCTCCAAATATCTGGTTGTCGTAATTTTATGCTAATGTCTCTGAGTCCCTAGTCCTCCACCCTGACTACACATTCGATCCCCTAGAAATTGGAAAATAAAATACAGATGCCCAGGCTACAGCATCAGAGATTCTAATTTAGGTTGTCTGGAGTGGGGCAAAGGCATTCATATTCTTTAAGTATTATTTTCCCATTATTACTGACATAAAATTTTATCTGTTTGTCTGAGAAGCAGTTTTGACAGCCCTTCTCAGGAGCTGAGACTTAGGTGTTATTATCTCCAGGGTTTGAGGCCCTGGAGCAGGAACTCAATGGCGGTGGATTTTCTTAAGTAAAGTAGCCATACAACTTGGTTTGCTCAGGACAGATCCAGTTTACACCCATGGTTCTGGTGTTCCATTCAATTAGCTATCTGCCCCTTTCATTCTCAAAGGTATCCCATTTTGTACAATAAATTATATAAGCCTCCCCCCTGCAACCATAAGGGTACTTAAGGTTTGAAAATACTTAGTATTATGGGCTAAATTGCATCTTCCAGGGCAGAATTGACTGTATTTAAAGATAGGGCCTTTAAAGGGTGATTAAGTTAAAATGAGGTCATTAGGGTCTTCCCTAATTCAATCTGACTCGTGTCCTCTTAAAGAAGAGGAGATTAAGACACAGAGAGAGACACTAGGGGTGCACATGTACAGAGGAATGACCACATGAGGACACAGAGAGAAGGTGACCACCTGCAGAGCAAGGAGAGGTCTCAGAAGAAACTAATCCTGCCAACACCTTGATCTTGGACTTCTAGTTTCCAGAACTGTGAGAAAATAAATTCTTGTTTTTCAAGTCACCAAGTCCGTGATATTTTGTTATGGCAGCCTGAGCAGACTAATATACTTGGTAAAATATAAAGTAAGTAAAACCAATATAAATATTGTTTCCTAAATATTCCAATCCTCCAGGACGAATGCTTACATCATTTTCCAGGAAACTCACTGTCTTGATCTTAAATCTTTCGGTTTCCTCAACCATTCAATAAAGGGCTTGACTTAATGTTTCCAAAGGATGCTTTTAGCATCTTTATATTCTGAGCCTGTAAGACTGTTGCCAGATGGAAAACTGAGACCCCTGTCTCTCTGGTAGTAGATAAGATGGTGATAATGAATGTCACATATGGTTACAGTGGGTTAGGCACGGTTCCCACCCTCAAGGAGCCACACACTGATCTGGAAACATCTCATCTCCACGCAGCAAGGGACAGAGTGACTTTTATGGAGGCTCGGTGCAGGTGCACTTAGCTAGCCTGGAGGAGAGTTTAGAATAAGTTTCTGTGTGAACAGACAGCCAGACTGATTTTTAGTGGGTGAAGAGGAACACACCCAGTGAAAGGAGGTAGTGGGACAGGTATTCCCTGCAGAAGAGACAGCATTTTAAAAAAAAGAAAGAAAGAAAAGCAGAGGTGAAAGGGAAACCGTGTTCTTTCTGGTACTTTCTTCATTTCCCGCACCCTTGATTTTAAATCCAGTCCTTTTCCTCTGCTCTCAGAGGTCAGTGAGTACAGCTATTATCCTTCATATTTTTTAACCCTTTAAATATTTGAGGACTTAAAAATGACAAATTCTGTACTTTAAGCTTTCTTTTCCCCGGGCTAAGTAATTTCAGTCTCTCTAGGCTATTCTTCAAGATTTTAAATTCACAGTTCACACATTAGCACTCATCACCCCACCAACGTGCATGCGCCCACACACACATTCACACACACACACGCCCACACATTGTGCACACACGGGCCAAAAGGGCCTGTGGTTCGCCAAAAGGCTCTTAAATTTAAGAGAATAGATTGGTGTTGTCCTATCAAAAGTACAGGTTAAGGTCACAGCCATCACATAGCTATGTGAACCATCAAATTATCAGTGTGTTTCCTTCATTAAATAGAAAGCAAAAGAATCAAACTGACACACATCAGTCATTCTGAGGGATGACTCTATATGCCCAGAGGAAGGTGTGTTCCCTGCTCCACTACCGACAAGTGAATTAATAATCTTACCATTTGAGGGTGTTTGGAAACATCAAAGAGCTGACATAGATCAGCCCCACTGATATGGGATGCATTTCTACCAGGAAATACTATCGTTTCTCCAATCTCACATCACGGCATAAATACAACAGCCCTTGTTTTCCACACAGCTTCCTACTTCTTTCACGCCCAAGCGTAAGCTAAGAGCTCTCAAAAAACACTCTTCCTCCATCTCTGGGAGGTGTCTTAAAACATTTTTAGCTCACCAGATACAAAACAGAGGAGGATCTGTTTCTTTATTCAAGAATAATCCTTTTCAACTGCCTGTTTATACTGCAGATGGAAACCTATAGATTGAAATAAACGTATTTTCATTCTAAAATTGGCATCCGCACTGCAATAGTTAAAGGATGCAACAATTGTGTTTGAAAAGCAAGCATCCAGGAAATTCCACATTGCTTTGCAATATTCAGACAAAGGACGCATTGGAATTAGAAGGTGAATAGCATTTAAGAACTGAGGAAGTGTACTGGTCTACCGAACTAATGGGACCGCATGTAGACAGAAAATGCCAAACATGCTAGTAAAATGTGTGGGTAAAATGTAATATCTTAGGACATATAAGCAAAGGATCAGTCTCCTTTGAAAGAACCCAATAAGAAATGCTTGATTAAAAGTCTAGAATTGTGCTGTATGATACAGTAGCAACCAACCATATATGGCTATTTAAATTAATTAAAATTAAATGGAATTAGAAATTTAGTTCTTCAGTTGCACTAGCCACATTCTTAGAGCTCAACAGTCATTGTCATACTGAGCAGCAAAGATAGTAGACATTACCATCATTACACAAAGTTGTATTGGACAGTGCTGGTCTAGAAGGTTCTGTTTGACTATTGGGTTAGCATCATTTAAACATCAGGCCTTAAAGAGATGATAGGGAGCACAGCATGCTGCTAGATGTAACAACTGATAGCATGAAAGTATGTTGGAAAGGGAAAAATAATTCCACTCCTGGAATGAACTAATATATTATAGCATTGACATTTTATTACAAGAAATATCGTTAGACAAGCAGAGAAATCTTGGACTAGAATGGAAAGGAGCTAGTAAATACTACTATTTGAATACCTCCTCACACACTTCTATACATTCACAAAATGCACCAGCCTCTTCTCATCTGTTAGTGGCTGGACTTTATCAGTCATCCCTCAAATACTTTTCAACCGTCCTTCACTTCCTGCCCCCAAAGTTCTGTTTTTTTTTTTTTTTGAATATGTAACAAAACAGTTTGAACATATATTTGAATAAATAGAATCCCAATCAAAATAGAAAATTGCAGACTCTTCCCATTAAAAAAAAAAAGGCAAGAACTTTATTTTAAACAGATCCTCAGTTGTGTGTTACACCACGTCCATATCTAAACCAAAAATCATAATGATAATGCAAAGGAGACAGAGGGCTTCATAAAAGCACGTTAGCCAAATATTATTCTTGGCCAATGCTTTAACTAAATACGCAGTGGATGTGAAAGGTACAGGATGGCACTTAAATAAATAGGAGCAAAGAGAAGGAAACATGTTCACAGTCCAAAGCAACAGGTTTTTGAACCTTTGGTATATATCTCAAATAAGCATCCGTAAACACGTGTTAGCCAATAGTGTTTAGTTCCAGGTTTCTTAAGCCAGTGATTGTGTGTGTTTCAAAACTAGCTGATAAAATAATAAATCAGGATTGACATGGGCTGATTAAGGTCTCTGGTGTGAGCACACAGGTAAATTCAAACCATGGCAAAATGAAGTGCAGCTGTGTTGCACAGCAAAACTATACAAGAAAATGAGTGAAATACACCAGTTAGAAATTCTGTGGCTCGGGTAGACACCCTTGATATTAACAACAACAACAGCAAATATATTTTTAATGCTGTCCAAAGTCCATAATCTGGAAGGCAGAAATATCCCAAAGCTCATAACCACATGCCTAACAGGGCAACAACCATCCCACAGGACTATTATAGTTGCATATTTCAATTCCCTCCCTCCCACCCAACACCCTGCCCCTAATAAACAGCACCAGTGCAGTTCGAGTTAGAAAACTGGAAATATTGAGACATTCCTAAGGTTTTCATAATGACTAAGGGCCGGTCAGACGGGGCTATAATGCAAACCTCTGCCATGGCCATTCTCCAAAAAGCACCCCATGGAATTCCCTCTAGCTTGCAGATAAACCATATTAGGTCTACTGTAAGGCCAGATCGAGAGAAAAGCTGGCATGCTATCCTGGGCGGAGGGAGAGGGGCATGCTGATGGGAGAGGTACATGAAGGATGCCTCAAGGATGTTTGTCCTGCAGCCCAGGATGGAAGGACGTGTTGAGATAGGTCACAAATTGTGTACCAATAAAATATTTGACTCACGCCATTCACCAGAATACAGAGCTTAGCAGAGCTAAGTCCTGCTTGGTAGCTGTGCAAATCCACTATGATCAGTATCAAACTGGACCACGAAACAAAAGGACTCAAAGAAGTCCAACTCATCCTCTCAGCACTCTATCCAACTGTCTCTGGAACCAGTGGTGTGACGTAATCATTCTACTTTCTCTCCTCTCCCATTGAGGCAAGATCTTCTCTTAACCAGCCTTATTCTACGTCTCAGTGATGACAGCCACATAAATGAGGGCAGATAGAGCCACTCTCCACAGTCGTCTGCCTTGGGGCTACTTGTCATCCCCCAGGCCTTTCCAAAACCTGCCCTTTCACACATAGGCAGAGTCGCTGGACTGAGTCCTGCCAAAATTGGGAACACTGACCCGTGGCAGGTCCTTGTTGCGGATCTCATAGACTGACTTCCTCTTGGCCTGGGCCCCTCGCACGGCCAGCTTGATCTTGCGCCAGCCCAGGTGGTTGAGTTCAGCCAGGTTCAGCACCACACAGATGCCACTCACAGCAAACATGAACACTAGAAAGACAGTCTTCTCAGTAGGCCGGGACACGTAACATTCCACCTCCTTGATGCAGGGGTAGCGGTCACACTCATACAACCCTGGGACACTGAAGCCATACAGAAAGTATTGGCCCACCAGAAACCCAATCTCCAGGGCATTTCGGAACACCACTTGGATAATGTAGAAGCGGGAGATGCCTTCCTGCCTTCGGAGCTTGGATCGTGCTGCAGTGCGCAACCCCGATGGGTGTGGAGTCAGCTCCTTAACCTCTAAACAATCTGGCTCCGTCTCCTTGCTTGTGTTCTCTGTGTTCTGCAGCACCCCATTGACAATGGCACTTTGCAACTTCTTGTCTTCTCGTTTGCCAACACCACTGCTCCCACCTCCAGGTCCTCCAGCGCTCCCCATGGACTCAGGGGGATCTCTGTCCAGGGCTAGGAAGACAGTAGAGTAGCGGCGTTCTCGCTGCTTGGCAGACTGGTGCACAGAGTAAGTGATGAAGCAGAGACTGGGGGTGCACACCATTATGATCTGGAAGACCCAGTAACGTATGTGGGAGATGGGGAAGGCGCGGTCATAGCAGGCCTGGTTACAGCCGGGCTGCAGGGTGTTGCACACAAACATGGTCTGCTCATCATCGTACACCGTCTCCCCGACAATGGCCACAATGAGAATGCGGAAGATCACCACCACAGTCAACAGGATCCTGAGCAGTGGACAAAGGAGGGAGAGAGGTTCTCATGGGCTGAGTCACTGACTTAGGAAACCCCTGCCTCCCTTCCCAGCTCCGTCCTTGATTGGGGAGCTATCCATCCTTCGTGGTACTGAACTGGGAATCCAGCAAACATTTTTGTCTCTTCCCTTCCTGCAGGATCTTGGTAGACTGGGAACACTTCATACTACAGGGATCTCAAGCATGTGTACCTCCCTACACTGGACATGGTGTATTTGCAACAGATCGATTACATGGAATGTAGAGAGGCACAAAACACACCTTCACTCTGGATACGGCAAATGTACCTGGAATAGCTGAACACAGAGAATACAAAGTCTACACACAGAATATGTATATAACTACTCCAAGAGGATATTTAGTTTAGCCTCAGTATGAATATGGAACTTAAGCTTTATATAAACAGATAGCTATGACTATATATACACATATATACATGAATATATATAGTATTTAGGTATGTGAATATACATATATACACATATAGAGACACACAAAGTGTCAATTGGGTGTGTCGGTTTCTGGCACTGTAAGTTTTAACAGGCAAATCAGTTTAGCTTAATAAATGTTTGTTGGGAAAAGATACATCTGCTCTGAAGAGCAAATCTGTCTCCCCATTTGCCCTTCTCTGTCCAAATACAATCCTGCCTTCTTTGTAGATTCTATTTAAGGAACCGGATGAAGATTGGCTCCGACTCCAGAGAGTGGGGGGACCACGACGGAGCCAATAACTCCTTTGCTAATGGGAGAAGAGTGAATCCCCTGGTGGTGCCTCATAGGGAAGGGACGAGGAGCTGCCGGAGGAGGAGGGCATCACTGGGCATCAGGCAATCCCTCAATGCCAGGAACACAGGCGCATGGGCCAAGGATGATGGCAAGGGGTCAGAGGATGGTCTGAGGGCTGTCGGGACTCGGTCTGGACTTTAGAAAGGACTCCCGGGGGCCGCCCGACGGGGCCGGCTGATGACCGGCTCGGCGCCCTTACCTCCCGATCATAGTGGAGTGCTGCTGCACCGCGGCTTCCAGCAGCCTCTCCAAGATGGTCCATTCCCCCATCGCTGTGCATCCGGAGGCAGCAGACAAAGACTGGGCAGTACCGGGCACGTCCCCGCTCCTGGCCACTCCCCGGGCCTCACCTCCCGACTGGGAGCGAATTGCCCCCCAATTAAAGAATCAAACAAAATTTTTAAAAAATCCACGATTCCCCTCTCCCTTTTATTGTACTTAAAAGAGGGAAATGGGGAAGGAAACCCAAGCACGCCCAACTGATGGGCAGCTGGCGCGGTCCGGAGGTCGGCCACGAACCGCCAGCGCCGTCCGGGCGTCAGGTCTGGAGCCGGCGGATGCCCGGGCGAGGGGCGGGGCGGAGCGGGGGTGGCCGCGTGCAGGTCCTCGAGCTCCCGCCCGCCCGAGCGAGGTCTTTGGGCCCCACTCACCGCCGGGGGTTGGGAGCCAAAAAAAGGGTCCAGGCCCCAGCCCCCGCGCCTGGCACTTCAGCGGGCACCGGGCGCTCCCGCGCTGCCGCCTGCGAAGCCGGGGCGGAGCGCGCGGAGCCGGCTGCAGGGCTCGGGAATCCGCGGCCGCCGCCTCTAATCCGGCCTTAAGTAGTCTCCGCCTGCGTCACGCCAGGTCGGCGGAGGGGAGTCGAGCGCTGCGGGCGGCTGTAGCTGCGCGCCGGAGCCCGAGGGGCAGGGGATGCGCGCAGGGAGAGAGGGGGCCAGAGTCCTGGGGCCCCGGCAGGGAGTGGGGCGACTTCGAGAGGAAGGATCGCAGCGCCCCTCGGGGCTTCTCCGGGTGCCCAGGTAACCTCACCTGACTGCCAGCCCCCGGCAGGAGGGGCAGCCTGGAGCAGACTCGCGGGTGAGTGGGGAGGGGCGTGAGTAGGTAGTTTAGGGTCTCTCCGCGCATCCCTCACCTTTTGCTTTTTGTCTTTGGTGATACAACTGAAATTCCCTCACTGAATGCAGACGCTGGATGGGGGAAGGAGAGCGGGGGCAACAATAGGACGCTTTTCAGTCTCCCTTGGAGAGGACTGCTTGGCTAAGAGTAAGTCTGCGGTCGGTGCCTTCGTGGATCCGACGCAGGGGTGAGGAAAGCTTGATTAGAGTCCATTTAGGCTGAAGCTTAAATGTAGGTGTGAAGCTGCCTCTGACGATGGGGGTCTGAGCACAAGACTCTACCAAAGAGGTGCCTAGTTTGAGCGAGTGGGTGACCATGGTTGAAGGACTCGCTTCCGCAGCGCAAATCCAGACGCTCTGCTATTCTTAAATGTCTATCTATCTATTATCTATCTATCGATCCATCCATCTCTTATTTGTTTGTTTGTTTGGAGGAGGGGGTACTTCTCGGGTAAACTGTGATCTAATCTGAATCTAAGGAAGCCCAGTATTCAACTAGCAAGAATAGCCACTCACAGTCTCACCCCGCCCTCACTTTCGTTTTCCGACCTCGGCTTTCTCCCCGCTCAATCAGCAGATCCTGCTTTGTGTTTTTAAATTTACGTTTTGCTGTCAGTTCTATCTAGAGCAACCGCTTAACTGGTCACTAGAAAATTAAAACAATCACACCAGGCTGCTAATTAGCTCAGGGGGTCAGTATTAGAAGACATAGCAGTTGAGTGTTTCATGTATATGTTCCAAAAGCACAATGAATAAGTGGTTGTCACCCTTTAAAAATTACAGCTGTGAAAAAGTTGCTGACTTGCTCTAGGCAGGTAATGCAGCCTTAATTATCCACAGGGATCGTAGCACATATATATGTATTGCATAAGGCACACCGTGATGAGCCTTCAGTTTGAGACCATAGGAGTTGCTTGGGTAGCTGGTGGCCCAGCGACTGGGAAGAAGGGTACAGAGCATAGGCTTGAGTTCACTCACAGTGCACCTCTGCATAAAATGATGTGTAAAGGCACAACCCAAGCTTCGGTGAAAGAGGGATCGGTGAGCTCTCGCGTAGACCTGACACCTGTACGCCAAGGAAGCCACTTTCACTGCAAAGGAGTAAAAGAGTTCACTGACAATGGAGAAAGGCATAGGGTGTAAATGGAACTTTAGGGTTATGGCAGGTGCTCCTTATTTCCTGCTGGGTAGAGAGGAGGTGCAAAGATGGGAATGGTTGGATATCCTATTGTCGAATCCACCTCCAGATGGAATGGTGATCTCCCAACTCAGACTTGGTGTTTTTTCTCAGACTTCCCTCCTGCTCCCTCAGGCTCTGGCTCCCTGTATTCTCTCCTTCTCCAGCAGACTGTTTGGGGCAAAGGATCTCAGACAAGAAGTGAATGAATGAGAAAGTCCCAAGGGAAATCTGTTTCACATATTAAATGTCCCAAAATAGGCTGCACAATTCAAAATCATTACGTTTTATATACGTGGCTTTCCCAAACCCTTAAAGATAGTGACCGAAGGACACAGATTGCAGGAAAGACATCTTATATGTTCTCACAGTGCAGTTTTTTTAAATGTATTTACTTAATTTATTTTTTGGGTCTTCGCTGCTGTGCATGGGCTTTCTCTAGCTGTGGCGAGCAGGGGCTACTCTTCGTTGCAGTGCGTGGGCTTAGTGCAATGGCTTCTCTTGTTGCAGAGCACTGACTCTAGGCGCGCGGGCTTCAGTAGTTGTGGCACCTGGGCTCAGTAGTTGTGCTCACGGGCTCTAGAGTGCAGGCTCAGTAGTTGTGGTGCACAGGTTAGCTGTTCTGCGGCATGTGAGATCTTCCCAGACCAGGGCTTGAACCCGTGTCCCCTGCATTGGCAGGCAGATTCTTAACTACTGTGTCACCAGGGAAATCCCCACAGTGCAGTTTTGAAGCACTAGGCTATGACTAAATTGTTGACCATTAATTAGTTTATTATTTTAAAATATACACTAACATGACATATAGATTCAACATATGAGCACATGTGTATACATGTGTGTAACACACAAAAACACCCATATACAGAATCTATATTTGAAAAAGACTCTTCTATTAGATTTGGTAGCCTTTTTTTCTTTAATTATTTTTTATTTATTCATTTATTTATTTATTTTGGCTGCTCCTCGTGGCTTGCGGCCTCTTAGTTCCTTTGCCAGGGATTAAACCTAGGCCCAGGCAGTGAAAGCACCAAGTCCTAACCACTGAACTTCCAGGGAATTCCCTGGTAGGCTGCTTTTAGATAAAAACCTTATTCTCACCACTACACCTTGAAAACAGTGCACTGTTTTTATTTTTAAAAATCATTCAGGTCTTCCCTGGTTGAGAGTCCACCTGCCGATGCAGGGGACACGGGTTCGTGCCCCGGTCCGGGAAGATCTCACTTGCCGCGGAGCGACTGGGCCCGTGAGCCGTGGCCACTGAGCCTGCGCGTCTGGAGCCTGTGCTCCGCAATGGGAGAGGCCATGACAGTGAGAGGCCCGTGTACCGGAAAAAAAAAAAAATCATTCATAAATTGTGTTTTACATTACTATGTTGTTTCCTTTTTTTATCTTTAAAATTTTTTTGAAGTATAGTTAATGTACAATATTATATGAGTTACAGGTGTACAATATAATGATTCACAATTCGTGTTATACTCCCTTTATAATTATTATAAAATATTGGTTATATTCCCCATGTTGTACAATATATCCTTATAGCTTATTTTATACCTAATAGTTTGTACCTCTTAACCCTTTACCCCACACTGCCCCTCTCCCCTTCCCTCTCCTCACTGGTAACCACCAATTTGTTCTCTGTACCTGTGAGTCTGCTTCTTTTCTGTTATATTCACTAGTTTGTTGCATTTTTTTAAGATTTCACATATAAGTGATATCATACAGCATTCGTCTTTGTCTGAAATTTCAGCTAGCATAAAGCCCTCCAAGTCCAGCCATGTTGCTGCAAATGGCAAAATTTCATTCTTTTATGTGTTTCCTTTTTTTGAGCCCAATCACTTTTTTTTTTTTTGTGGTACGCGGGCCTCTCACTGTTGTGGCCTCTCCCGCTGCGGAGCACAGGCTCCGGACACGCAGGCTCAGCGGCCATGGCTCACGGGCCCAGCCGCTCCGCGGCATGTGGGATCTTCCCGGACTGGGGCACGAGCCCGTGTCCCCTGCATCGGCAGGCGGACTCTCAACCACTGCACCACCAGGGAAGCCCCCCAATCACTTTTAATTAATAAATTGTCCTGGTCGTGCAGCAATAGTATGAAAAGGTTCTATGTAGAGCTAGGCATCTCTGTTTCCTCAGCACATTGTCTCAACCAACTAGATTCTGACTCTCTCAATTCCCCTCTGATCGAAGATCCCATTTAAGTCAGTTGGGAAGTTCTTTCCATTAACTCTTACTTAAAACTCATTCAACTCTCTTAAAGTAATAGTTTTGGATGGACAAAAGTAAAAGAACTCATAGATAAACTTTGGTGTACATTAGCCCATGTAGGGATACTCATTACAAATACACATGCTGGGGTCCGCCCCCCCTAAACCTGCTAAATTAAAATCTATAGAAGTGAGGTTTAGGTACCTGCATTTTTATTAAGTTCTCACCAGTGGCTCTGATAACAATAAAAGTTGTGAACGTTTATTGCCATGAGTATTAGGTCAGGAAGGAATCCTAGAAATCAGGAAATCCTATCCCTTTGATTCATAGATGTTAAAATTGACCCAAAGATTAGGTATCTCAGACAAGTAGGTAAGGAAGAAGCTATGAAGAAAGTGCTGTTTAAGGGTCCTAGAGAAGAGGACTAAATAATTTTAAAAGATGGAAAATGTGACCTTAAAGGAAGGAAGAAGGAATTAAGGTGGTTTGGATCATGAGGACGTAGCCACCTGCAAGCATCTAAAGGGAAATAATACCTGGATTGTTGGCATTGTGAAGCCAAGTCTTACCGAGCAGAAATTTCCATTGACAGATCAGCGAAATATTCTCCACGTCTAGTGGAAAAAACTGTAAAGGCGCATAGCAAAAGGCATAGTTAAATATTCTAATACAGGGAGGGAATGGAGAGTTACTAAGAATAATCCAATTTTCCACATGAATATATCTGGATTTGCTCTTATCCTTATATGTGCTTAGAATTTTCTTTTTTCTGTTCCTTCTAGTTTTTTTAAAGATACAATTGACATACAGCACGGTATAAATTTAAGGTGTACAGCATAATGATTTGACTCACATACATCAT